AAAGAAAAGAAACATTACCTTTGAAATACTGCTGCTCAGAAAGTTAATAAATTATTTAAAGTAACGATGGCCCTAGTGTTAAGGAGCCCTGGTGGAGTAGTGCGTTGAACCTTAGGCCAGCAAGATCCGCAGCTTAATACCACCAGGTGAAAGGTGAAGCTGTACGCTCCTGTGATTTACAGGCTCAGAAACCCAAAGGGTAGTACTAATTGATTTGACGGCAGTGAGTTTGTGGTTTTCTTTTTAGTATATATGTAATTGTGCTATAGCATTAAAGCCATTAAAAAGCTTACAGAATACTGAATAAATAAAAGTTTTTAAATGTCCACAGTAAGTGAGTGGGGGAGAACAGGGGTGGGAGGGATCTTTACGGAGGAACACTAAATAAACGCAGAAGAAATGACAGTAAGAAAAATCACCATTTTGGAAACCAAATACATAACTGACTCAATAGGGGTCATCAGTGGCTACTAAACCATTAGACAGAAGCAGATAGAGAACAAGACAGTCATTTGGTGCAAGACCTTCACAAAGGAGTTTGAGGTGACCTAACTTAGCATAACTAACAACAGAAGCAAGTTATAGTGTGTGCTTCCTGATTTAAAGTAAGATAAAGTTCACGGCATGATCTTCTTACAGAGCATATTCTTCTTACCAAGGTTCAAGTGAATCTCGAGATCAGAAAACAGAACCTATGAGGAAGCAATCAGAAAACTCCAGAATATGAGCCAAGTCAACGGGACTAAGTTGGTAAAAAGCTTAATGTAATTCATGACATTGGTTACTTGTGTCAGTCAGTTTGGTCTGAGTTTTAAGAAATATACAGATCACTTTAAGAAATAAGTTTCTTTGGAATTACTGTAATTGGTTTCGATTCCAAACTCATCAACTTCTACTCTTTTTATCATTCGCTCTGTCTGCTTGCTTTTAGTTCAACTTGTTAAAGCAGAATGAATATATTGTTGGCTTGAAGCCTACTTTCTTTCCACATAAATGTTCTGAGTACTCCATTAAGTGGTGCTTTAGCTGGATTCTACACATTTTGATAGGTTGTATATTTATTATTTAATTCAAAACACTTTCTAAGTTCCTTTGAGATATTTCTTTGACCATGGGTAATAAATGTTGTTTAATTGCCAACATCACTGAAATGTATCCAATATTGCTGGGACGTAGTCAAATATTTGGTGGGTACCGAATTTTAAGTTGGTGCCACAAAAGGTCAAAGAAGATATTTTATGAATTCAATTAAACTTGTTGGAGATTACTTTATGGACCAGAAAACGAGGGCAAATCTAAGTATTGCTTCTCAGCTTCCAGTTCACATGTGCAAGGGTTTATTTTAAACAAGAGGTGCATGTCTCTGCAATCAGTAGATAGTTTATAGGGTGGCTGTAAGGAGGAATCAGATCTATGCTACAGTGATTGCTGTTAGTCTTGGTAGTGTGCCTTAAAACAAAGCAAAACAAAACAAAATCCCAGCTGTAGTTTCTGAGGGAATCTGCTGAATTTTCCCTGTAAGCAAAGAAGGACTCTTGGAATTCGAGATACCCTGTGTTCAATATGCAGTATCATTTTGAGTAGTACTGACACAGTAATACTACTCCTGCCAATCCATGACAATAAGTTGTCTTACCAGTTATTTAAGTGGGAGAAAGATGAGGCTGCCTGCTCCCATTAAGATTTACAGTGTTTGAAACCCTGTATCTTTGAATTATGAAACTCAGGCCAAAGTTATACATTTGGTTCTACGAAATAACCTTTTTAGTTCAGTGTCTTGTTCTTTATCAAATTGCTTAAATCTTTTGGAATCATAGAGTATCCAATCTATTAGTTGCATTGCCAAAACACTTTGTATGAAATTCTTACATATACTTTGTATATAAAGGTTTAAAGTGTAGATTAAAATAGCCAACAGTACACCCCCTTCCCTTGAAGGGGATGAGCAACAGAAACGTGAGTGAAGAGAGATGACAGGCAGTGTAAGACACAAAATAACAAAAATAATATATAATTGATTAAGGATGCACAAGGGTGGGATGATGGAGGAGGGAGAGGAAAAAAGATGAGCTGAAGTAAAAAATGTTTTGGAAATGTTGATGGCAACATGTGTACAACTGTGCTTAATGTAAATGAATGATGGATGGTTATAGGATTTGTAAGAGCCGCCCAATAAAATGATTAATTAAAAAAAAAATCCAACAGCACAGTTTAGAAGAAAAAGACTGCTGACCTCTCATCTACAAAGATATCTGAGTCTCTACTTTTGCCAGTATTTCTCTATCTTGTCCACATAGGTATCAGAAAGAGTCTATCAAACAACTTAAAAAAAATCATTTTATTGGGGGCTCGTATAACTCTTATCATAATCCATACATACATCGTGTCAAGCACATTTGTACATTTATTGCCATTGTCCACATAGGTATCAGAAAGAGTCTATCAAACAACTTTTAAAAAAATCATTTTATTGGGGGCTCGTATAACTCTTATAATCCATACATACATCGTGTCAGGCACATTTGTACATTTGTTGCCATTATCATTCTCAAAACATTTGCTTTCTACCTGAGTGCTTGGTATCAGCTCATTTTTCCCCTCCCTCACGAACCCTTGATAATTTATAAATTATCATTCTGTCATGTCTTACATTGTCTGACGTCTCCCTTCACCCACTTTTCTGCTGCCGTCCCCCAGGAAGGGGGTTATATGTGGCTCCTGTCCTTGTGCCAAGTATTACTCATTACAGAAAGTTAGTTTGCTGGTTAGACTTAAATAGGTTTTATTTTCTAATTGTCCACAACCAGCTCTTCTTGCAATTTTTAACAAAGTAGCCCCCAAATCATTGATCTTTTAAGATAGCTGACCTTTATTAATGCTTCATGTAAAAAAACGTATTTATCTACCTCAAAGCCTTTCCATGTGTTTTATCTTCTATAGCCCTTTGAATATAATAATATTTCTATGATCCTCCTGCAAACTGTTTTAATAACTAGATGAGAAGTCAGCAGTCTTTTTCTTCTAAGAACATTTTGATCAACAATCAACATCTCATCTATTTTGTACACCACTACTTTCTATAAAACAAAATATACATTTTTACAGCTTTTTTCCAATTCAGAAGATCATTCCCTCAGGAAGGGGGGGGAAAGTGAAATAGAGCTGATTTTTCCTTGCTATCTGTCTTACTCTCACAATATGCATCTTTTTTCCTTGAAAGAGGGCACAAAGATTGTTTGTGCTATAGTTAGCAATTTCAAAACTATAAACAAGCAGCCTATTCTGTGGGTATACATCAACCTTTCAAAACAATGTAAAAAAAAGGTCATGATCCAAATATACAGTCATGACTGTAGCTTATGTAGAAATCAATATATTAATCTATATTGATTTCAATATAATAATATTGAAATTCCTCTTTCTGAAAGCATTTTATTATACTGATACCTCACTTCAACTTAAGTGAAGTATCAACTGAAGCACTACCCCTGATTTTGATTTTATCTTGGCATTTCATATAGAAATAGAACAAAATCATTTGAGGCTCCATCTTTTTTGTATTCTTTTATCATTCTGTATGTTTTCCTTAGTTTTCCACAACATAGTAAAGGGTGAAAAAAAAATCAATGTTTATAGTTGTTCCCATTCACAATTTTTTTCTTTTAGATTTCTAATTTCTGTATCTAGATGATAATATTGTTTCATCTTACGTACTACAAGGAATGCACAATTTAGCAGTCATTCTATTTTTCTTTTAGACTCTGTAGCATTCTAGATTTAACATAACTTTTTCTGCCTATTCTTGTTGTAATTCATCTCCTAGTTGAGAAAACAGAACCTACTTAAACCAAAAATGTTGACTTTTCTTTTATGACACTAATAGTTTATTGTGTTTTCATGAACATTCACATAGGAGTATAGGTTCCCATTCAACAACTTCTACACAAGTTGTTTTTGTTGACATCAATGCTTGGCTTTCCTTTCTAATCTTCAAATTCCTAAATAAGATAATACTACCTGAATATTCCAATGAAACATGATGTCTAAGTTTCAAAAGACAATCTAAAGCTGGTTGTACAATGAGTAGCTGATTCACATCATGTGTGATTTAACATACTGATCAATTCATTTTTAAAAACTCTTGACAAATTTTCTCCTCTTGAAAAAAATGTGAGTAACAACAGGGGACTTTGAAAATTTCATGGGAAATTCCATTATCTTTTAATTACATAGTTGAACCCTGAGTTAATGCCTTCATTTATGTGGTCTAGGCTTATTCACTAAAATATAAATCACTGCATTATGAAAGCTTTACATTCTCTACACTGGGCAGTATTTCATCTTCACAATGAACAAAACTAACTGAAATAAGAATTTAAAAGCTACCTTTGGCAAAATGATACTTATGATGAAATAGATTTCTAAATAAGCATAAGAAGCTAATCTGAATATACTACATATTATCTGTGAGTTGAAGTCCAATAGAAAGAAAGTAAATAGTACCCACTTCTAACAAAACAGCGCAGACTGCAGCCGGGAAAAGAGTTAGAACAATCAGTGTTTAGGCCACAAGAACACCCCTAAGTACCAAAGAACATAAAACTGAATAATAGAAATATTCCATTAAAGTAGGAAACAAAATTATTTAAAGCAGGAGCTCACAAATTTTGCTGAATTTTTTAAATTGTTGTAAAGGCAGGGAAATTGAGAAAGGTACGAAAAAGCACCACCAGACTCCTTACCCATTGTTGCTGGTGCTGGAGCTCCCTGATGGTATTTCCAGCTTGCTCCAGCTTAGCACTGGCCTCGTCACTCTGCTGTTTGACGGTGGCTAGCTCCCGTTTTATGAGGTCACTTTCCTCAGCCTCCTGCGCTCGGGTCACTTGTCCCTTAGGACATCAGTTTTGTGTGCATAAAGCAATTTAAGACAGATTCAAGGAAAGACTGACTTTTGAGGTTTAGTCATTTACTTAAAAAAAGTGTATCTGATAAAAGAATAGCCTGGACATTATTAGCTAGTAGCTTGTTATTGCTCTTCAAATCTGGGGGAGCTAAATGGAAAAACTCATCTGATAATTGTAAGAACAATTTTTCTTTTAGCCAATAAAAAATTCAATTCATGCAATATTACTGAGTTGGACATGCAGGACTGAGATTTTCAATGAAAGCAGTTAAGTTCACAGATTCCACGGATTATTATTTGAATTATATACTTTAAGATAAGGTTAGCTTTAAAACGTGCAAAAGGTGATTATTTGAACAAACCAAGATAACAAACCGCTATCAAGAATTAAATACACCCACATATACCACCCAAAAAAGTATTTCTAGAAAACTGCATGTAAATTTGCATGCATCAAAGTATGGATTTCTAAATTTAGGAGTTTCCTTAGAAGCAAAGGTAGGGGAAATGCTAAAAATCACAACTATACCTGTATCAATCTATCTGCCAGGGAAGCACTTTCCTACAAAAGGAAAAATTCAGATAGAAATATGAGAAAAAATAAATAAAATAAAAGTGGTAAAATTAGGGATAAAGAAGAAGCAAAGCACATCCAAATTCCATCGACTTTGCATTAAGAGTTAAAATGGACAGCTAAATTTTCAAGCTATTTTTCCTAAACAGCGTTTTATTCTTCAACTTTAAGAAAACATATAATAAATAAGGACAGGTTAAAAGACTGTTTTATAATTGAGAACAAACACAAATTCTGATATCTTTTAAGTATTTTTAGAGTCAACTGTGTTATCAAACCATTTGACATGAAACAAAGACATGAAAGGGGAGGGGACTTGAGTAAGCATTCCCACCCAGAAAGTGGGGCAGCAGGTTATGCCCTAGCAGCTTCGGAAGAAGCAAAGCAAGGAAGTATGACCAATGAAATGGACCACGACACAGTTAATGATCTCCACTTAACACATTCTAGCAGTCACTGAACAAGTGAAGCTTCTTAGTGTACGTTTGAAAGGACAAAACTAGGTCTTCTAAGCCAATGAAAAGGTAGAATAAAAATCCAGACTTAACACTTTCCTACAGCACCTTTATCACCCTGAAGATAAAAATGTTTTTTCCGAAAATGTCTTACCCCAAAGACAAAAGACCACCTAAGAAAATACACTTTTCCTTTTCACACGGGTAGCTAGCTAGTGGGGGGTTAGGGGGGAGGAGAAAGGAACCCCAAAATCCAATATGGAATTAATGCTACTTAAAAACCATTAACCCTTGCAGAGTCGCTAAAAGCACATAATTAGTCTCAAAAGCATTATTCTCTAAGTATCAAGCAAACTATTTTAGACTTAGTATACGGGTAAACTAATACATAAGAAAGATAGATAGGCAAGTAATAAACACCCAGTCCTTGTTCAGTGTGTGTTGGTGTGGAATCATCAATGCTTTTTAAAGAGAAGGCAAACACGACAAACTTCCTATCTCCATTTATTTATTTCTTCAAGACAGGTCTCTAAATTGTCATAGACAATTTTAAGATATTTGGCAATAGTGTAGGAGATTCTTTTAAACCTAGGCATGCTCATCTTAGGTTTAAAATTTTTTTTAAAAATATCAAGATTTTATGAATTCATGTTTTCTTTTAATAAGTGAGGTAGTTAGTTTATTGTGCCAACCTGGCGGATAAACACATGTGGGGTTAATTGAAGGGCAGAGGGATAAATGGCTCAGTGAGCCCCACCTTTCTAGTTCTTGGGTCTCTTGCTTTCTGATGGTTGGACCAGGGTGCAGCTGCCTTAGCCAGTTCCCTGCTTCAGCTGGCAAGGCTCACTTCCTGCAAGAGAACCCTGAGGAGAAGCCATATGGACCTACCCCGATGCAGCTCTGGGTGCTGGAGCAGCTGTGTGGAAACCCTGCCAGCGCTGAGATGCTTACACATTCACTGACTCGGCTTTCCTCCTGCAGTTGGTGTCATTTTGTGAGATGGAGGAGGATTTTGTGGATTGGTGTCGGACATATGGGTTAATGTTGGACTTGTGGGCTTCAGCATCACTGGGTTAGAATGCTTTCTTGATGTGCACTTAACCTTTCTATAAAACTCTCTCTTACACATATGAGTTTCTGTGGATTTGTTTCTCTAAAGTACACAGACTAACACAATAAGTCATAAATCTCATACTTTTATTAATAATTCTTAAAGCATCAGAAATATGACTATAAAGGATATCACATCACAAGTACATGAAAAGTGATGCAAACTTTCCACATTTGCCTAGTTATTCTACAGGAAACAGAGGAAGAGATAACAAGTAAATACCAAAATATTTCTAAGAACCAAAAGTTCAAGTATAATTCCTTTATGTTGAAAATCAACACGATATGGAATTTTTATATATGCAATCAATTAAACTAAACTTAAAGGAATCCTAGGTCTTACAAGAATTGTTCCCATATTTAACAAAGTCAAGGGAACATTTTAAAACTCATCTTTGAAATGTGCTTTCAGAAAAGATTTCCAACTAGATTAATTCTAAAGGTCTTAACTATTAGAGATTGCATATAAAGAAAACAAGTAACATCAATATGCTACTCTGTTAACTCAAGATAAGTCTGAATATTCAAGAAAGACTAGTACTAATACTTTTTATTGAGGACAAGTTTTTTAGTTAAGCAGTTAAGCAGGTAAGCTAAGCTTAGCAGTCAACACACATAAGAGACCTATGTGCCACATTACTTGAGGATCTATTAAAATATATGGGGGGAAATGTATGCAGCCAACAGACCCCAGCATAAGTGGTTATTTACTTACTTTTTCTAATGTTTCAATGCGTTGTTTTAAAAGTCTATTTTCTGTGCGTAACCTCTGCAAAAGAAAAAACAAACAAGTTTTGTTTGCAAGTACGTATTGCTAAGAGAGGGAGCAACGTAATGTTACACTCTTTAAAAGCATTGCCTTTTATAAATGAGAGTGTAAGAAAAAGTGACACACTTTACCATCAGTCAAATTCTTATGGCTCTGAGTGAAAAACAGATGGCACAAGAAACACATTTATCACTCCAGCTTGATTGACTTTTAAATACACATTAAAGCATGACATTATGTACTTTTCATATTTACTTATCAATATTTTAGGTCAACTCTCCCATTCTCAACAGAACTGATTCTAACTGGCTTATCTCTTACCTACCTATCTCATGTGTGATAATTCCATGACCTTGTAATTGGATTTTTCCGTAATTCCGAGTTACGGTGACCCTGCAGGATGGAGCAGAGCCCCGTACGGTTTCTGAGGCCGACCTCGTCACAGGAACAGACCCCAGGTCTCCATTCCCACCAAACCACGGAGGACTTTGCAGTGCCAACCCTTATGGTTAGCAGTCATTTAACTATTCTACATGTTAATATTAAAATATCTGTTAAATGAAGAAATAATTGGCAATGTCTCTCAAAAGCCTGTGAAATACTAGGTATTAAATCCAAATCATTCTATGTAATGATCTCCTGTCTGCATATTTTACCAATATAATTTTTTATAAATCCTTATTATCTCTTCTGAAATGAAAACATCCTCTTACCTTTTTGCACCTATTTGTTCCACAGCTCAATTTAGACTTCCTACACCCACTTCTGAATTTCTGCTAAAGATGTCTTCCTCAGAAAATTCTTTCATCCATTTAATGAATTATTTTTTCAATTAAAATAATGTAGTTTATGTAATACATAAAAGTCTCACTTCAAGGACATGACTATAAAGTATTATATTTTATTAGGTGGACCACAAATTGCAATAATTAAATATTTTATTTATTACAAAGGTTCTTTGTAAAATTGGATTTTCTTGTCCTATTCACTAGGACTTAGTAGATTTGAAATGGATATTACTTTATATGTAATCTAAGACAATTATAGTAATAATGCCTACAAAGACTGGAAGAATGAAATCAATATATAACAAGTACTCCCACCATCCATCCACCTGATTAATGATAGGTATCTGCTCACATTATTGTTAAAGTTAAATATAAATATTATTATTTTTATATTAGAGAAATTCTTCAATTTTATCCCACCAGAATTTTTTAAGAAATTAAATGACTGAAATTATTAATATGAATTCATGGAGAAATTCACCTTTAGATAGCATGCAATTTTTCTACAGGAATTTATTTTTTGTCTACCTTATAGTCATCTTTTAAAAATGTTAATGTGTGGTTTCCAGTATTTACATGGATAGGTTCTATTATTTATCTCATTAAAGCATTAAAGTTAATTCCATTTGATTTTATTTTAAATTGCACCACCCCAAGATATTTTTTGAAGTGTTTATTATTGATATACAGGTAATCTAATGATTAATTTCCAAGCTAAACTCTCATTGATTTTTCAGTATCTCCCTTTATAATTATATTTTCTAAAACTAAGAGTGTTTTCTAAGCTTTAAAGAAAAAAACGACAAGAGAAAAATCAATTGACAAAATTTTGGGGCATTATGTATAACTTGGGCATTTCAAGACACATCACCAAGAAGCTTTTTAACAGCAAATTGGAAGAGAGAAAAGGTGACTAAGAACACAATCCTAAAAAGAATACAGCTTGAGAAGATTCTCCTGGAAATCTGATATACACAAAAGTCTTGAAAATGCTAATACCTTATACCTCTATAGTTCTACTTTTTACAACTGATTTGGAATAACCAAACCAACCCATTCCAAGGAATCAATTCTGACTCATGACTACCCCTTGTGTTGCAAAATACAGCTGTATTCCAAAGGGTGAGATCAAATCACCAAGCTTTCCATTAGCAACCAGGTACTTTTTTTTTCTCACATTGTTATTTTTTTTTATTTTTAAGAAATAATCATTTTCTTGGGGGCTCATACAACGCTTATCACAATCCATACATATAATCCATTGTGTCCAGCACATTTGTAC